TCGGTGGTGATCCTTGGCACCTCACCTACCTCTTGGTGTTGGGTACATAGCGGGTGCAGGTGCTGCCATCCCAGGCACAGTATGGGTCCCGGGCCAGGCAGCACTCGGCGCAGGCTTTGCCGTAGGCACTGCAGCGGTGTAGGGGCAGCTGGGCCAGTGCTGTGGCTGAGCCAGCATAGAGCTGTTGCTGGGGAGGGAGAGAGCAGGGCTGAGTACCCTCGTGCCACAGCATGGAGCTGGGCAGAGATGCGGTGGCACACTGGGACCCACCCAGGGTGCCCCCTTACCCGCTTAGAAGAGAGCTGCAGGCTGATGACAGGGGAGGCATCCTGTGGACCGGGTGTGGGCAGGAGTTAGAGGGGGACATGGTGTCTGGGCTGCTGGCTCCTACATCCCAGCAGCTGGAACACCTTGGCACGACCAGTAGTGCGGGCAGCACGAGGAGGTGCTGAGGGGGTCCAACTGGAGGGCTGCAGAACCCCTCACCTGGAAGACCTGCAGCTCCTCTAGCAGTAGTGGCTCCACGTGGTGCCAGCTCTCCTTGGGCACCGAGACCACCTTCAGTACTGTGCCCACGTCTGCAAGCAGGGAGGGGTGAGGCTGGGGGAGGTCTCACCCTCGGCATCCCACAACCCTCCCTCCCCAGGGTCACCACATGCCTGTGCCGATGAAGAGAACGTCGTAGTGGCCATCAGCGGCAGTGACGCGGTCCACTGCGATGCGGGTGAAGGGGTAGGGCACAGCGACTTGCAGGAAGAGGGGGCGCTGGCCGTGGGGCAGCACTGGGTTGTACATCAGTGGGTGGTGCCTGGCAAACTGGATCACCTCATCTGGGAAGTCCTTGGTGGAGCCGAAGGTGCCGAAGGTTTTGCTGGGACACTGAGGGGAGGTGGCCCTGAGTGGGGTCTCGCTCCCCATCCGCCCTGGGTGCCGGCATGCCACCGGCAGCACCAGCCAGGATGTCTCTGTGCCACGTACCATGCCCGGGCGGGGGTATGGCACACGCCCCTGGTACGACACCCACTGGTAGTTGGGGCCCTCCTTGTGTGCAAAGGGGCCCAGGAAAGCCCGGCGAATGTCGGCCATGGTGTAGACACAGACGGCTGAGCCCTGGAAAACTGAGCTGGCAGGAGAGAGAGGGGCCATGTGAGGGGCAAGGTGGGCACCACCAGGAATGGGGGGGCAATGGGGAGAGGGCTCGACCTGGAGGTGGAGAAGACAGCATAGATCAGGGGGTTGCGCTTGTCTCTTGTCTGCAGCAGGAAGACGTCCCCTGCAAGCCAGGAGGGCATCAGCACCACTCTGACACGCCAGGGCCACCTGTAGGCACCCTGGGGGACCACCTCCCACTTCCCACTCACGAAGCTCATCAAAGTGTGTGTCTGCGCCATCAGGTCCTGGTACGGCGCAGATGAGCCGAGCCTTCAGGAAGGTTGTCCACTTGTTCACCAGGCTGCGCTGCCCGCCCACGTCATTCTGCCAGGAGAGGGAGAGCACTGACAGCAGCAGCGGCAGGTGGCACCCACGGGCACCCTGGCTCCCAACCTACCCACATGCTCTTACCCTGCAGATCTGGCCAATGCGGGCAAAGCTGGTCTTGCCCAGCCCCTGCTGTCGCTCCACTGCCGTCTCGCGGAAGAAAAAGTAGATCTTGTCGTCATCAGTGTCCTCGCTCTCCGGCACCCAGAAAACGGCCACGAACTTGGGCTCTGGGGGCAGAGGGGTGCGGCCTCCAGTGCCCACCCTAGCTCTTCTTCCTGGGGACCCTGGGGCACTCGCAGGGGTCCCACAAGTGCGCAGATCTTCTCCTGCCAGCTGCAGGGCAGAGTGAGGGTGGGACCCCACTGGACACTGGGGCTTTGCGAGGGGCACAGAGACCTCCCAAATCACTCTCCATTGGCAGTGGAGAACGGAGTGTGTCCAAGCCTGGAGGTCTTGTTGCCCAAATGCCTCCAGGGAGCAGAGATGCCCCACCACCCTCCCACTCCCTGGCACTGACCATTGAGCCAGCGGGAGTCGTGCTGCTCAGTGCGGATGGAGGGACGCCGGCCCAGGCTGCGGAAGATGGTAAAGTCACGGCCCATCAGATCGGTTGCCACCCCAGAGTAGAGCTCCTCCCCTACCAGGCACCGAGGGAAAGTGTTATGGGGGACCCCCAGCACTCCTGTGCCACACTGCACCCTGTTGCCAGGCTCGGCTGTCCCTTACCCACAAGGACAGAGGCTGCCGCATGCCGGGGGTCATAGGGGCTCTTCCCCTTGCCGTCCTCCGTGTGCCGGAGGTCCAGCTTGAACACGGGCTCCTGGAGGGGGGTGAAGATGGGAGGTGGGTGGGCAGCAGCAGTCAGGGACCACAGGG